AAATCTATTATTTAGTTAAATGAATGCCTAAAAGTCCTATTTTGAAATTTTTTTATTACATTAATTACATTAAATTATACTTTGTATTTTTAACATTAAACAAGTTTAGAGTTTAGGATTAGAATCATGATTTATGATATATACTAAAATAAATTATTAAAAAAATCAAAAATTTAAAATTAACATAAAATTTATAATAAAAACTAAAAAGACACAAATATATATATATATATATATATATATATATATATATATATATATAAAGTATAAATATATTTAGTCTATAAAGTAAATATAATATTAGTATATATGTCAGAAGATTCTCTATGCATGTGATTACGTTTGAAATACTTGGTTGCATGCATACGCACGTACTGTATGCGATACGTATACCCAAAACTTCCATTCAAACAAAATGAATTGAGCATGAAGCCCGAAACTGATTATTAGATAGAAAACTCATCAACTGTGTTTTAGCATGTACATCGTAAAAATAAATGTTTATTTAATATAGTTAAAATTATAGATATCAAGTATTATTAATATAGAAATTATAACATAATTAAAATAAAATAAAACGATATTTATATTTATGAGTAACACAATATTATTTTGAAATATTCCGAAATTGAATTGAAGAATATAAAAGCCGATAAGTTAAAAGTAAATAGAAAATTAAAAATATTAAGTATATGCATAAAGGACTTTTTTATGTAGGCATGGTAACCCTGCGGGGGATGAGTTTTGCTTCTTTGTCCCGACTTTTTTAACCATCTTGTTCTCGTTCCTGTTGAGTTTCGGGTTTTCAGCTCCTATCTATATTATTTTTAAAAAGATAATTATATTTATAATAAATTAATTTTATTATGTATTTTTTATATATAAATAAATATTTATTATTTTATAATTTATAATTATTATTAATTAAATATACATTTTAATTTATTATATTTATATTAAAATATATATGTAAAAAATGTTTAATTATTTTATATATATATATATATAGAATATTTATAACATTATTATTATTATTATTATAACATTGTATTCAAATATTTGAATACTTAACATTATTATTATTATAATACTGTATTCAAATATTTGATTATATATATAAGTTAATTCATTTTTAAGTTGTCATTTAAAAATATAAAATATAAAATATATAGTTTATAAGGAAATATTTAATAAGTTAATTCTTATATAATTAGTTTGAAGTAATAAAAGTTTAAATTATCAATTCTTTTTAATAATTTAAAATACAATTATTTTATTAAGATAAAATTTAATATATGATAAATAAGAATAATAAGATAAAAAAATATGACATAATAAAACCTAATAAATATAAATTATAAATAAAATAATATTAGTTACTACTAAGATTTATGTAAAATATTTAGAAAAAAATAAAAAAAAATAATTAATTTTGTGTTCATCAAATTGATCAAATTGGTTGAAAAGATTGAAAAAAAAAACAAATTGATAGGAAAGATTAAGGAAATGTGAAAAACTAAAAGGTAAGAGAGAGAATAATATAATAAATTAATTGATATAAAAGATTAAAAAAGACAAAAAAATTAAAAAGTGAGTAGAAAAAAAATAAAAATTGGTGAAATATAAAAAAATGATCTTATATGTAATAAAAAAAGAAAAGAAAATACTTTTAAAATATTAATATTTTAAAATTTAAATTTAAATATAAAGTTGAGGTGGGGACGAGGGTCGGGATAAAGATTGCATTATTCATCTCCGCGACCCATCCCCAACTTTTTAAAATGGGGAAAACCTGAACCTGCCCTCATCCCCATTTCCGGTCAACTCGGGTTTTCCCAATCAAACTTGGGGTGGGGACGAGTCGGTCTCCTCATGTATGAAAGATAAAGAAATTGAGAGAATTAAGAGATTTTTTTTACCTAATTACATGTAAGTAAATCTTAAGAACCAAATTAAATTAAAGTTAGTTCCTAAAAATGAATGAAGAATATTGAATAAAAAATATGTTTATATAAAAGATAAAGAAAACATACTTTGAAGACTTAATAATATTACAACTGGCAATTACTTTGATTAATTTGATTAGGCTTGAATAAGAGTGTCAAAGTGAGTCAACCCGGCTCACAAGGGTTGACTTACCACGGGTTAAGCTCGAAAATAGGTGATCTCAACCCGACTCACTTTTTGGCGAGTCGGATATTTTACAACCCGGCTCAACCCACCACGGGTTAGTGGGTTAGGTGGGTTGTCTCACTAACCCATATTTTTTTAATTTTTTAAATTATATAGAAACTTTGGATGTAGAAACTTATGTTTTCTTCCTTTTTTCTTAACATCAGTATTTTTGTTATTAACTGAAATTAGCTCATTGGGTTTTTCATTAATAATAAAATCATCACCAATACAATTTACATTGATACTTTGATGTATTGTTTCGGATTCTATCACTGTAAATTAATTTAAAATAAAGAAGTCAAAAATTCATATATTAAAGAGATATACGTATAAATAAATAACAAACAACAAATAATATATAGATGCTACAATTTTTAAATAAAGATTCATCAATCTAATAGTTTAGGTTATGAAACAAATTCTTACCTTTGAAAGCAATACAGTGAACATGGTGTAGTGGTGCGGTGGACATATAATAAGACAAGTGACCCAAGTGCGACAACAAACGTAGTGGTGGAGTGAACAATCGATAACAAGTTTAAGTGAGATTTGGCTTGTGGCGACAGCTAACAATGTAAGATAAAGGTAAAAGCAGGATAACATCAATTAGGGTTACCAAAGTATTATAATTATTTTTAAAATTTAAAATAATTAATTAATTAAGTTAGTATATTATTATAATTATTTTAAAATTTAAAATTAATAGTGGGTTGCGGGTCAATCCACCATAACCCGATTCGAATCCGTTTAACTTCGTGAATTAAGTGAGCCGGATTCATTTTTAGCTAATTATCGGTACAAATAAAAAAAATCAAATCAAACTCAGCTCAAACCCGTGATAAGTCGATTAACTCACAGGTTAAAACCCATATTAATACTCCTATGCATGAAGATAACCTTTCATATTAAAACTTATGTTTTGGTAAGAGAAAAGGAAATAGAAGGAAAAACGTAGAAAATGATCAATTTTATTTTATTTTTGTATACTGCTGAAAGAAAGTGAAAGAAAAGTTTCCTCTTTAACTTCATTAATTTATTTAGTTTTCTCTCCTTACTATTTTTTCTAAAAGATGGGCCTGAACGTGACTCAAATATTACACGTAAAAAATATACTAATTTTTTAACATATTTATTTATGCATAGTTATATTGCGATATTATCTGGAACTTGCAATTTGAAATTGTATTTTCGAATTATATTAAAAATTTCATTTTTTTTTAGTTCATGATATTTTTTCTGTCAAAAGAAAATCAAACTCTTCAAAACACTGAATGGTACAGTTATATATGAAATTTAATATTTGGAATAAAAGTAATTTATATACTTTATAATTTATTTTGATATAATAATCAATTAAATTAAAAACCAAAACAAATTACATTGAATTAAAATATATAAAACAGTTGAATATTATTTAACAAACAAAATTGAAATGGTGAAAAGCGTCCCAACTACATACCCGCAAAGTCGTAAAACCTATGATTAAGATATATTTTGTAAAGATGTAATAGAAGGTGGTGGTGTTGTGTAGAACAAGGAAAAAAGAACCCAGCTCATGATGTTTGAAACAAAATTCGATAGTTTCAGATGAACGAGTTGAGAATTGTTTAGTGGTAAAAGAATGCAAACAATGGTAGCTTCATGGAAAGTTGACTATTCCAAAAACAAGGTACTGCTAAAGGTCTATAATTTTAAGAATGTTATAAAAAGCTATGGGCATGCACAGTACGCCATACCCACTTGCCAAGTAGCTCTTTCTTTACTTTCTTTCTTTATTGGACAAATGTCTAATTATCAACTTGTTCACACTTTCCTAGGTCATGCTATGGACCCCCCCTGAATATATACTGCACATGGATTAACTTTCTCAAATTTTGCCTTTTTTTCTCCACAGGAAAATATATCATTTCATTTCACAATCATGAGGATAGGTCTGAAATCAACACACAGAAAAAATTTAAATGTAATCAAGTTAATGACGAGAGAGAAGGAATGAAAAATGAGAGATAAAAAGTTTTGATTTGTCATACCAACCATATTTATGTAGAGTTAGTGTACATTTAATTCTGTTAATTTTGGGAAAATAATTATTTGTTTTTTTAATATCAATATGTTTAATTAATTGGTTGACTAAGATGGATAATATTTTGTAAACTATCCATAGATTTAATTTTTGTCGATAAAATAAAGTATTATTTTAAATAATAATTGTATTTAGATATCACCAAAAAAAAAACAGTAGCAGTAAGCTGAAAAATTAGAAAGAGAATATTATGTTTCGAAAATATGTTAGTCAATAATTAAAAGAAAATAATGAAAATAAGCGATGTGAAAGATTTTTTCTTCTAAATGTAGATATAACATAACTACTTATATAAAGCTTATACTCAATCCTACAAGTTAAACTAGAATCAGATCACGCGATGATGGTAAAGCAAGCTAAAATCATGAAAATGGAGACACACGGCACATGCAATGAACAAGTTACAATAAGGAATTGATTTTCCGCAAGACGATGAATTTGAATTATAATTTTTGGAGTCGGAAATAGCTGTTCACAGTTAATGTCCCAGTGTCTAAAAACAAGTACTTTTATGGGAAAAATATGTACTCCTGATCCTTATTTAAAAAAAAAAAAAAAAACTGTTATACATGTTGCCCTAATTTTTCTTTCTCTTTTTGTCTAAGAATATACAGCTTTTGTAACAAGTGGCAACTTCAAACATCACCACCATCCATCAATCTAAAGCTCTACCTCGTCTAACTTTCTCTCAAGAATTGAACAGTTACAAATTCACAAAACCAAACTTAAAAACGGTGTAATGTTACAAAGCTCCAATTACTTTAAACTTCTTACTGCATTCGAATGCAAACAGTTCCATCTCTTTCCGCTTCCGCTCATAACCAACCCCGACACCACCATCCGAACCGGGTAGTTTCAAAAGGTTCACCCCGAAAAGCCGAACCATATGAACCGGCTCGTCAACCGGTCCCACCGGAAGAAACAAACTCCCACCATTATTGTTACTATTAACCTCACAAATACCGCCACTACCCCTGGCCTTGCAGTCTATATAAAGCTGCGGGTCCGGTCCGGTTGACTTGAAAAACCGAACCGCGTCGCCAGCTCTCAAATTCTTCTCCTTCACGAACCGGCTCCATCCTTTGGTTAGCACGTAGCTCTGGCTACTATTCCAATACGAGTAACGAAACCGCCACACTTTCCCTCCAACGTCCTCGAAGTTCAACAGCACTCCCTTCGCCGCCGCCACAGCGCACGGCGACACTCCGCTACCGGATCCACCGCTCAAGGGGAAGTGCTTCTCCGCGTGCTGCTTCGGTATCACCAATCGATTCAACTTCCCAACGTCGCTTGGCGTCACCGTTTTCTCGAACAGCTGCTCACGCGCCATCTCGTCGCACCGCGACGCGGCCTCTGCGTTGCCGCGGCGCCTGCCACCGCGAGTGCTCTGCTGGAGCTCGTCGTCGTAGGTGTGCTTGCGAAGCATGTCGACGATCTCGGACTTGGAATGCGAGTTGAGAAACTCGGTCTCGGCGTCGTCGCCTGCCCCGGCTAGAGGCTTGAAGTTCGTGACGGCGTCGCGGCCGCGGAACCTCTGCGCGGCGATGTCGTAGGCTCTGGCGGCTTCGTCTTCCTCGTTGAAGGTGCCGAGCCAGACGCGCTGATGCTTCTCGTAAATCTGAGCGCCCCAACGACCGTTGGGTTGCGGCACCACGCCTTTGTATTTGGAGGATGGAAGTTTGCGGGATTCGGCCTCTCCGGAAACACCGTCGGGGTCCACGATGCCGCTTCCGGCGCGGCTAAGAGGCGGCGGAGATATATTGGGCGGAAGGGAAAGAGAGTCGATGGTGGTGGTGGTTTCATCTGTGGAACTGCCTGTATCCATTTGCGTTTGTAACGGTTAACTAACGAAATTTGTTTGTGTGAAGTGAGTGAAGAACAAGGTTTTGGTTTGGTTTGATTATTTGAGTATTTAAAGGTAGTATAGGATGATGTAGTGTATATGAAGAAACAATGGGAAAGGAAAATGTCTCACTTGAGAATAGGTATGGTTTGGTTGAGGTTGGATATTATATATATAGTGGAGGAGCTGTGAAGGTGAGTTTGTGTTATTTAATGAAAAACGAAATGTAATGAGGTTGGGATGATTTAGGCATCATGGGCAATTGCTAATTTCATTTCATTAAATGTGTGCGTGTATGGAGGGATGCATGATTTGTGGGTGTGGGTGGGTCAACGATTGGACACCAAGGAAAATTCATTATGTGGGAGGATCCATGAGAAAAGAGAAAGGATAAGATCACACCATAAAATCACTAGCTAGATGTTGATCACTTGACCAATTGAATTTCATTCCGGCGATATCATTTACACCACATTAAATCTATTAATTTCATTCACAAAATGAGTTAACAGTAATCTGACCCATTCATTCACTTTTTTTCATCTTCTTTTTGTCTCTCTTTCTTCTTTTAATTTATCGTGTTTACTATATCTCTTCTAAATTCATGTTCTTTATCATGTTTATTTTACATCTCATGGGATCTTTCCTTAAGAGAAATTATTATCCAATTTTAGACTATTAGCTCACAGCTATGCTTCAGTTGGTTGGTTTTTTTTTTTTATCATGAACAATTTAATCAACTCATTAACAATGTCTAATCACATTAATTTTGTGAGATTTAGATTTTGAAAACTTTCCTAATTGACAGTTTCAAGTATTAAAAATATACTACAAAGTCAAACTTGTAAGACACATGGTTAACATAATCAACTTATAACATGCGAAGAAGATATTAACATTGATAAAAGCTAACGTTGTGATTTAAGATTACATAATAATTGTTCTTTTCCTGTATGGTAAGAAGAGAAAGATTGTGTGTTATTTTATTAAATAAATAAAATGGTGTGTTACTTCATTAAATATATAAGGGAGGTTTAATTAGGAATTAAAGCAGCTCGTCATTTGAACAAACTTTTAATAAAAGATGTATTTTTTTTTTCTCAATCCCTTTCACAATCACCTCAATTTGAGGTGGATTTTTGCAGGTGTCAGTGAGTTAATAAGAGTAGGGTCACAAACTCAGAAGGGAAATGGTAGTAGTGCATGCACTTTCTAACACAGTTAGGATTGTAAATTACAAAAAAAAGTTGGATCATAATAAAAATATATATTACAAGTGTCAATGTTTATAAACACTTTTCAAATATTACAATCAATAATTATAAAGTAATTTATTTCCTTGTACAAATCATCATATCATCTTGCATAAAAAAAAATCCTCCTACTGTCTTAAAAAAAGATATATGTTTTTAATAACTCGAATATAAACATAGTCAAATATGTAAAGAAAGATAAGATGATTTAGAACTTTTCATAATAATAGTAATTATTATCAAGCTTTTATATTTAGATGCCGTTTTACACTTAATATTTGTTTATTTAAACAATAATAAAAAAACCATTTTAATGCGAATTACAACTACAAGAATTTCAATTTAGAAGCAAATAAGAAAATACAAATGAAGGAGTCACAGACAATCAATAACCCGTACCGGATAATAAGTAACATGGACCAATAATTTATGGGGCTAGTTAATACTTGGAGAATGTTAATGATCTAAAATTGAACATGAGTGAAGGAAAAATGACCTAATATGCGAGTTCCATTTGAAAAGTGCCCGAGTAGCTTTATGACAATAATTTTGTCTATATCCAAATAAAAATCAATCTTACACCCAAAGACATACGAAAACATTGTGTGAGCTTATCTTGAAAAGATGAAGGATAAGGAAATTGATAGCAGTAGCTGATTATAGCATTAAAAGTACAATTTAAACAAGAGGTAAGAAAAAGCAATAATACAAGTAAAAAGCTTATTGATGAACAGGATATGTATTTAAAGAAAGAAGAGTAGTTATTTGGTAAGATTATGAAATTTTATGGTGCATGGGGTTGGGATGTGGGTTGTGTATGTGAGGCAGGACCCACATGAGGGTGTGGACCATGAGTTGGTGAAGTTCATATTAGCAACATGATGGGGTTCACGAGGAGGGTGGACCTTCATTTTTTGAAGTTCATCCCCCCTAAGCTTTTCTGCTACTCCAGTCTCCACACACACACCCACTCTTCTCTTTTTATCTCCCTTTCCTTATCTTAACTAAGCTCTCTCTGTTTCAAATAATGCTAACAATAACCATAAATCTTATATACCTTATCCCAACTTAATTACTTCATCAGAAACTACTATTATCAGATTAAGCAAGTTTTTATAAATTTCATCACCATCATCAATACTAGTGATAAATATTATCTTTTTTTTTTCAATTAAGGGGGTGTGTGTTTTTCACCTAAAAGATGCATGCCCTCAACCAAAAACAATTCTTGCCCATCCATCAGTCCCCACCTAACTTAACATCCCAGAGTCCTTACCCAGTTCCAGTTTGTCTTTTCGACCAGGTTCGCCTAAGTATTATTCCACAATTTTAACAAAAATAGAAAACGAATAAAGAAAAAAGCACATCCCACTAGTGCAGAATATGGCTTTTACGTCACCCAATTGTCGTCGCATGCACGTATATTCGACGTAAATAAAACGCGGTGGCAATTTTGTAAATATGGGACAAAAAATTTACGTCGCACACCCCAATAGGAGGCGTAAAAAGTCATCTTTACGTCGCACTGGGAGGCGCGACGTAAAGATGGCCTTTACGTCACGTACGAGGGACGCGACGTAAAAGCCTTAGCTTTTACGTCGCGCCCCGTACTGCGACGTAAAGGCCATCTTTTACGTCGCGCCTCCCAGGTGTGACGTAAAGATGACTTTTACGTCGCTTACTACACTGCGCGACGTAAAAAGTCTATTTTATTTCCCTCCCAGCTCCACTTCCTCGTCTCGCGCAACCAGGGTTTTTGAGAACGACGACGAGAACAACGACAACGACTACCTCTGCACACCATTTGCGAGCGGCTTTACAGTGAAAAACATCTACATTGTCGTGTCATTTGACGAACTTCATCTTTCTCCCGATTGGATTCGAGTTTGAAATCGGTTTTCGTCTACACTCGAGGTTAGTGTTCATTGTCATTGCTATATGTTTACATTGAATCCGTGATTGTTTTGGGGATCTCAATCACGTTATAGTATGAATGTCTCCACTTGGATTGTTATTGGAATGCAGTTATTTGTTTATTTGTTTGAGTGCATTCGGTTTACACACTCCATTGTTGTTGGAACGTGCTTTGTTGTTTGTATATTAATTTTTTTTACATATAATTTTTAAATCTTTAGGAGTGACGAAACTTTATAACATAATATGAATCGAAGTTGGATGAATGCACGTCGTATTAGTGAAGAGTACGAAAAGGGAGTTGAGGAATTTCTGAAATTTGCTAGTGAAAATGGAAAAGCTATGAAAGGGACATATTATTGTCCATGTGTTCGTTGTTTGAATCAAATTCGTCATAAACTTGAGGATATACGTGATCACTTGTTTGTTTATGGTATTATTAAGAGTTATACAATATGGACATGGCATGGAGAAATATTAGACATCCCAACTGTGTCAACTACAGACAATTTTGATGAAGGGATGGATGATAATCTAGAGGATATGATACGTGATATTGGTGAAGAACATTTTATGAAAGCACATCTATATGATTCTTTGAAATCTGATTTTGCGCAACAATTGTACATAGGATGTAGTTTTACAAGATTATCAGCAACTTTAAAATTGTTTACTTTAAAAGCAAGAAATGGATGGACTGATAAAAGTTTCACCGAATTATTGGAGTTGTTGAAGGAGATGCTTCCTGAAGATAATACATTACCTATTCGTAACTATGAGGCAAAGAAGATATTATGTCCAATGGGTTTAGAGTACAAGAAAATACATGCATGTCCTAATGATTGTATATTGTACAGAAATGATTTTGCTAAATTAAAGATGTGTCCAGACATGTGGTTTGTCGAGGTTCAAAACCAAAGTTGAGGAAAGTAGTGGTGAGGAAGAACTAGATGGTCCCCTGCTAAGGTGTTATGGTATTTGCCAATTATACCTAGGTTTAAAAGATTATTTGCCATAAAAGAAGATGCAAGAAACTTGACATGGCATGCAAATGGTAGAAAATGTGACAATCTTCTTCGACATCCAGCTGATTCTCCACAATGGAAAAGGATTGATGAAACCTTTCCAGAATTTGGTGCAGAGCCAAGAAACTTGAGAATTGGATTAGCTACAGATGGGATGAATCCTTATGGAAATTTAAGTAGTAAACATAGTTCATGGCCGAGTTATGTTGATCATTTACAATTTGCCTCCTTGGTTATGCATGAAGAGAAAATATATGATGTTATCTATGATGATTTCAGGACCTCGACAACCAGGAAATGACATAGATGTATATCTTAGTCCTTTAATTGATGATTTGAAGATGTTGTGGGAAACAGGAGTGGATGTATTTGATTCATATCACGAAGTGAATTTCAGGTTGCGTGCAATGTTATTTTGTACTATAAATGATTTTCCAAGCATATGGTAATTTGAGCGGTTATAGTGTGAAAGGTCATTTAGCGTGTCCTATATGTCAAGAAGACACAAGTTATATCCAATTGAAACATGGACAAAAAACTGCGTACAATAGGCATAGAAAGTTTCTAGTTGCTAACCATCCATATCGTAAAATGAAGAAAGCATTTAATGGATGTCGGGAGAATGCAGTTGCATCGAGTACCACGCAATGGTGAACAAGTATATGAGCAAGTGAAAAATATTAATATTGTGTTTGGAAAGACCCAAAAGAAATCCAATGAGAAAAACATTTGGAAGAAACAGTCTGTATTCTTCAATCTTCCTTATTGGTGTAAGTTGGAAGTTAGACAC